GCACTTTTGAACGAACGGTGGAAGTGCTGGAGTGAAGAATTTGTGTGTTGTGAAGGTGGATTTGAGATTTTATGTTTGGCGAGGTGGAATCTGTGTGATTGTAACTGTTGGCACGGTGTGTGGAAGTTTGAAGACGGCGAAGCAGCGATGCGAGGGAGTTGTCCATCCGACGGTCAGGTTGCGATGCGGGTGCGGCTAACAGTCTCCGGAGCCGGATGTCACCCATTGTGTGGGAGGTGCAGGGCGGCGGCCTTTGGCTGATGCCGGGTTATGCATGTCGAGTGGTTGATGATGCTAGGATTTGCGATCGCAGGCTCTGGCCAGCGTAGGTCCGACGGGGGGTGGGATGTCGGTTCGTGCGGTGCTGCCGTTGGGATCAACAGCAGCACGTGGTGTTCGGTGGAGTTTTGGAGGATGATAATGTGTGTGGACTCAGGTTGGATTAGTCGAAGGGGAGTGGAGAGAATTCGGAAGAGAAGTGGAGAGAATTTTTGAGGGTATAGAGTGAAATCTGAGAGTCGTATCTGAGATTTGTCGCTTCTAAACTCATTATTCTTTACGTTCTATATGTGCTTGGAAAACTGTCAATAACATTTGAAACCCACTTCAAGTTATAAATACTCAAAAAGCTTTGAGATTGTAGGAAGCCGCTTGTACCCGCAAAACTGGTAGGACAATCTAGCTAATAACAAAAATTTGTCTTCAAGTTTAGAAGACAGATTTTTTGTAGTCGGCCCCTAGAACCGACAAGGAAATAACTCTCTGTCCGTAAAAAATTGAAGCTTATCAATCATGCGTACAAGAGAAGAAAATTATCCCTTTGCATCCAATGAAATAACTTTCTTTATTTGATCTCTCATGTAGAAGAGGAGGCAACATGCCACTTTTGTAGCCCTCACGGAGTTGTTCACAACAACAAAGCACTCAAATTTTGAGAACATTGCTCTGTGACGATCTTTCTCATCAAAGGCCTCATCGCCTCTTCATCATATTTGAACAATTCAGAATCAGGGTATGGAGTATTTATATCAAATCCTCTGCATGCAAATGTGTTTCTCAATTTTCTTCTAACATCGTGTCAAATTTTATGAAGAGCGTCGTGCCCCAAGTTCAGAAAACTCTCTTGCTTGAAATCATGAACAACATTCCTCGTTCTTGAATTGAACTTTGTCGCAAAAATATTATAAACACCTTGAACCAAATGGAAAAACGTAAAAGTAGAAAAATTTTGCAGACGTTTGACGCTCAAATCTTTCACCATCAATAAAAAACTCCAAATCAAATCCAGCTCTGATACAATTTGTTACAATAAAACTCAAGAATTATACGAACATAGCAACACAAATGTAACGTGATTCATCCTCGAGAAGGAGGGCTACGTCCACCCAGATGTCAAGCACCTTTACTTTAGGTCATGTATAGGAATACTCTCTGTACAAGGTGAGCCCTGAGTTATTTATTTCCAGTCCACACGACCGTACTAGATATAAATAGTTAGGACCCCATGTTACTCCTTAATTGGAGTTAAACTCAATAGTAAAGCTTGAACGCAGTAAGTCGCGGGCGATGATGATAGTTAATCACAGACGTTGTAAGTCATGGACGACGGTTTTAATAAGTTGCGAGCGCAGTCAATTGTGCTCAATACTTGTTTGCGGCTTAGTCAATCGCGGGCGACAATAATGGTTATTCGCGGACGCAATAAGTTGGGGGCGACGATGAGATCCAATCACATGTGACATGTTAGTTGCTGGCGCTGTCAGTCGCGAGCGACGATGAGGGCCAATCGCGGACGCAATTAGTCAGAGCCACGGTGAGTTGTGAGCGTCAAAAGAATTCTTGTCAAAAGGATTATCTTTCAATGAGCTATGCACATTGAAAGAGTAGTCTTGTCTTTTCAATGCGACTAGCTTGCTGAAATAGGGGAAGAGTGTTCAAGGTCTTCATAATTACAAGTAAAAATATGTGATCACGTATACGTTGAGAGTTTAGGAATCCACTGATTACTTAACCTAAGTTAAGAGTTACATTCTTTAACTAGATATAAGAGGTTAAGAGTGCCCTGGTTATTGAGATTCCTTAACCCGAGTTAAGGAGGGGATATGGTTTTAAGTTATCTCTTTATATTAATACTTTATCATGTTATGGCTACGGCTTAGTTCTAGTTAACTCTGGTTTAAAGAGTTACCTTGTGTTAGGTTTCTCTCTAGAAATTCCCGAAGAGTAATAATATAGGTTAGAGAGGTTACTGAGTTTCCTTAACACAAGTTTAAGGGAAGACCGTTGAGGTTAACTCCGATTAAGGAGTAACCTCTAGACCTAGCTATTTATAGCTAAGATGTCGTCTAGACTAGAGGTTAAATACTTTGGAGTCTACCTTGTACAGTGAGTTGTTCTCGACAAACCTTGAGTAAAACGTGTATCGGTGTCGGTGTTTGTGGTGGACGTAGCCCGCCTCCTCCAAGGGTGAACCACGTTACATCTAACTCTCATGATTGGTTGATGATTCTCAAATTTTACGTTTACAGTCCCGAGTTGAAATTAACATAATTTGGGTGAGGACTAACATTTGTTATCATAGTTAAAGTTGATCCGAGATTTATTAAACCCTTAATTATAAATAGAAGTACAAGGCGTGTCTCGTCCATAATTAAAAAGCAACTTGTAAAACCTTGTGTCATCATTTAATCTTATCTTTTGACTTTTCAAATATTTCAAAATCAGATAATTATTTTTGAAATTTTTTGATAAAAAAAATTTTCCAAAAAAAAAATGTTATGTTTTTGTAATAGATATCATATCATAATTTTAAAATTATAATTTCACTTTCATGCTAGAATTATGACATAAATATGTTGCAAACATTGCAGCTATTCGGTTATAGAATCCAATTTAATTAGCTTAATGATATTATATTTTCAAACTTATGTTTCAGTGTTTTCTTCTTTTATTGTTTAAATTAGAGTCAATCAAATTGATTTATGGAATTAATTTTATTTTTTAATTCAATTTTCATTATTTTTAATCTCATGGTATATAATATCTTTTTCACTTCATAATCTTCATTTCAGTTCACTTTACATGTACATATTGAGATAATTCTTGAAAGAATTTTACATTCCTTGAAACATTCATTTCACCTCTCTTTTCACGCAAAAGTGTTTGAAATATATGACTTAATTTTTCTTAGAGTAATATGAGTGTAAACACTTCAAATTATCATAACGAGGTTACAATAATCTCAATTTGAAAATGATTGTTTTATCATGACTCCATCAACTAAAATGCAAATATTCAAAATCATGGGAATTCTTACTACATGTACACATCCTTCATTCCAACTTACTTCTTCAACCAATTTCCTGTTTGATTGTGTTTTAATTCTCATGCAAAGGTATCAACACTATCCTTCCATGTATGCATCTTCATTGTTTCTTAGAACTTGCAGTCCAACGCTTATTCATCATAAATTACTTTCTTCATCATTGGTATCAAATAGGTGTACCACGAGTTCATCTAATCACATAGTGAAATTATCAAGTGAGGTGGCCAAGTGGACAGAAACTTATCTAATGGTGAAGATATAAACTCTAACTTAAGAAAAGTGTAAACACCGTTAACTGAAACAAGATCATTTTCTGATAAATGTGATCAGAGAATGATTTATTTATGTTATTTGGAATTCCTATTAGAAGGTATGATTGTAAGACTTATCTTCCGAAGAAGCAATTGAAGAGATAAATATATATAATGATTATTCGAACCTCTTCTGGGTTCTTTCTGTCATTTGACCACGTTTCATATCATTTTCTTGCATTAATATTGCCTCGGTGGTAGAACGGGGAATGTCACAAGATGACATAAATACTGAAATATTGCCAAGCCTCCAGGCGAGGAATACCCTTTCCTCCTGATGCATAGAATCATGCATTTACTGGGGCGAAAAAGTTGGTGCCACAAATTCTACCTACTTTACATTTCATTGCGGAATCCAAGGGTCGAGGGAAGAGAAGATCGGACGGCCATCGGTCACAGACAGCCTAAGTCTGCGGTGCCGTTTTGATCCGACGTGGCGGTGATGTCATCATCCAGGTCTGAAGCTTCCGTAACTGCATAGGAAAACGGAACACAATCAATTCATGAAAGAAGGTACGCTTCCCAGATTAGTTCCCAAGCGAATAAATTGCATTAAAATATGTACGATTGCCGTTATCGGAAGGTTTTCGCGGAAATTCGTTATCCGACTCCCATTACGAGTCCGATGCCATTATACATTTGCGTGCACATTCAAGTCTTCCGCGACCAACGGGACCTCGAATCATCTGCATCAAATATACCAGCACCATTTAAGAATCGCGTCATCATAGCGTCCCTGGACCGAACCGCAACGCACTGCCCTGCGGTCACTTGTTCCTCACCATGGGTTAGACTTGAGTTTATCTGTGGTCTGTCACGGCGCTAGGAACTCCGAGCTGGGCGTCCAGTAGCACGGAGTTCCGACCCGCTTGTGCTTGTGGTCGAATTCATACCCCTTGTGGGCACAGCCATAGCAACGGCCACATCGTTTCACAGCACTGCCAAAGGAATCCATAAAATTCTCTTCTAGGTATTTCTCGTACAACGACTCCCGCACATTTTGTACACACGACTTGGAAATAAGAGACCGCAAATTAATAAGGCGGACAATGACCGACTTCCTTTAGGAGTCACTTTATTTCAGGTGAGATTAGATTAGATCCTGCCTCTGATGACAAAGGATACCTTCACGATGATAGGAGATCGTTGACTACGATAATGGCTCTCTTTCACACATATCCTCTACTTCCTTCTAGTTAGTGTAAAGGAATTGAAGCGGGCTTCAATCTTGTTATACAAGTTGGGCCAAAGTTCAATAACCGAGTCTCACGAGCTTTGCTTTGCTTGCTTCATTTAATGATGTATCATTGGAGGCGACATACGAGAGCCATATATGTTATTGGCAAAAAGCACAAGGAACCGTGTGCGTGGGAACGTTACCTTGGTTTTGTTTAGCACCAAGTCTTTATTCAGTATGTGCACGACACATTATGACAGACGAACTTCGCCATCTTGTGCACAAGCTTCAGTCAATATACGCCCCTAGTAAGTAACGACTTAACCTGGTGTAATATGCTTCGGCGTTTCAGTGCTAAGCTGATTGTTCTTTCTATGTTTCTATTCTAAAATGTTGAAGGCTTCTTCGACGTCGGATCAAAATGCCAAGACAACAGGCTCTGCAGAAGCTGTTCGTAATGACTAACTCAAGTTATTCAGGTCATGCGCCTGAATGTCCCCTATCTAAATGTACCCTCATTGTAACAACGTCTAATGTCACTTAACAGAAAATACTTTCAGTTCCTCCTGCCGACGGTCCTTTCTTAAGGACATCACAATATATAATGAGTAGAAAAAGCAAACGAAGTCTATCCTAATCTCCATAGATAAACAAAATCTGTCCGAATATATCAGACGCCCCGGTCTTCAAAAGGCATCCACATGTCACATCGTGTCAGTGACTAGGCTGAACCTCTCTTGTTTTGAAATTCTTTGACTAGCTGGGCTTGGACATCCTGTGGTACTGCAGCATGCTGGTGATACTCCATGGTGAACTCGCCCTTACCTTGGGTCATAGACCGCAATCCAGTTGAGTAGCCAAACATGTTGTTTAACGGAACATGTGCAGTAATGACCGCATCATCTCCATCCTGCTCACTTCCGACGATGATACCCTTTCTCCTGTTAATATCTCCGATAACCGGACCCTGAAACTCCATGGGAGCCTTCATTTCCACAAGCATGATCGGTTCCAGTATAACCGGTCTTGCTTTTTGATAACAATCTCGAAACGCATACAAAGCAGCCAGCTTGAAAGCTAGATCACTGGAATCAACTTGATGTGAAGCTCCATCAGTCAGCACAACCCTTAAGTTCTCTACAGGATGGCCGATAAGAGAACCCCTGCAGTAGATTAGCCACAACGAGACTGATCAATTAGAGCATCCAAAGCGTACTTAGTACGTTGTTAAAAACGAGGCCCAACAATACTTCAGGAGAGATTCGAAAGGACCCACATTTGAAATTTACGGGAAATAGTGGAATGTACTTACGAATTTGCAGCCTCGATGAATCCTTTCTCGATAGAAGGAATAAAGTTCGATGGTATGGCTTGTCCGATCATCATATTTTTGAATTCGAACTTCTTTCCTGATAAGTCACCTTCTTCTATAGGCTCTACATATCTGACATGCACAACACGACGACCAGCGGTAGGTGTGGTGGTCAGCACTTGCAACAGTGAGCAAACATACAAAAGCAAAAAAAGATTTATGACTTGAGTCCGCACTTCCAGGTGCCCATACATACCCGACAACACGTCCATACTGTCCCTGCCCACCACTTTGCTTCCGATGTAGATAATCAAATTCTGCCCTCTGGGTGATAGTCTCTCTGAAGTTTACCTGAGGCTTTCCAACTATAGCATCTACCTGGTAATTCCATCCATGAGGATTCATCAGAAAGGCCTTTCCAAAGTAAACTCACTTCTGACAATAGATAAGATAGTGTATGATTGAATACTGCAGCATAGCATGCAAGAGACCGGAGCAACTCAGATCTAGCTGTGACGTCTAGACGGTGCCAGCGAAATAGGGACGTACTTGAGTCCATACAACAGCAGACGTTAGGTGATATCGTTGTTAGAACTAGAGGGCTAACCGAAGTTTTAGGCGTGTGAAGGAATTACACCGATGAAACTGTGAGCTCCGGAGCTGAGGGTACGAAGAAATGATTTACATATCTTCTAACGTTGAGAAGTCTAGCTAAAAGAAAAGTAAACACTGTAGGAAGTCATATTCATGCCTGAAGACGTAAAAGGTTAGCCAATTAGACAGCACACATATTTGCCGTGGTAATACGAAACTTTTGAAGATAAAGGGTTCCTCAAAACTTAGGCAAATACAACTAAATAATAGGAATATCTGGAGTCAGGAAATCTCGATGTGACGTTTCCAGTCGGAAACACCAATATCCTGATGTCAATGTAACGTAGTAAAGCAGGTCCTGATTATGTAGATAACAAGGAGTAAAAAGATCTCTGACTAGGGTGCCTATCTTCTCTCTGGGATCAGTAAGGTTAACATTAGTGCAGTGGGTGGTGAAGTCCTAGCGTAAGACGAGGAGTGTGGGGCAGAGATCTCAATATAAGTGATTATAATTTAACTCATGGATGACATTACAAACCCTCAGTAGAGTCATCTAATAAGTAGAGAAAAATGTTAAGTGCTTCTGATGTAAAAGCGAAGCATATTGCTCATTGCTTAGTATGGTTGGTATGGTTAGGACTGTGGCTCACGATGGCAAAGCACCCCGTGAGCCAGTCCTAAACATATTAAGCCGAGTGTAAGAGGAGTGTCGTTGGCTGATACGTGGTTTTAGTCAAACCTTGTGTGACTTCAGAGCAAAGAAGACAAATGGTAACAAAGTAAAAGTCTGAGCCCTGTTGGAGACAAAGGAATGTTGAAGGGCGAACTAAGAGTGACTAGTGGCAATCTCTAGTTTGCTGTTAGAAACTGTTGTGATTATATCGGTGAGGCATAACATATTAGATTGTGCAACAGTTGCGACTCAGCTGGACGCTTGAGTCCTTACCTAAACGGACGGATAACGAATCATACCCATGTGGAACCACAAATCCTTCTTACAATCTCTTTGTTCAATAACAATAAACAAGCGTAAGATGTGTGTCGACTCAACAGCCGAGACACGTACTTGAATGAGAGAAAACCGAAGGTTTCTGAGAGACTTCCGTAAATACATGGAAAACGAAAGAAGAAGGTGAGGATGAAAGCAAGACATACCTTATACTCCCGCTTGATTCGCTCCACATAAATATCAAGATGAAGCTCTCCCATCCCAGAAATGATGGTCTGCAGTTAAACCAAATTCAGTTGCGTTCGCAAAAATTGCTTTTTACTTCACACATCCCGACAACAGCTTATTCAATAATGAAAAAAAATGAAAATGTTAAAGAAAGTAACATGCACACCTCCCCGCTGTCGGGATCAAGACTGACACGAAAAGTTGGATCCTCCTTTTGGAAGCGGTTCAGAGCCTTTGAGAACTGCGCCAGCACAACAACAATAAATAAGCAGACCATACAATCCTCACGTACACAATCATGCAAAGACTTCAGTTTGCAAGACTAGGTGCTAACAATTACTTTATTACAGCGAAAATGAATCTGAAGTCGAAATCCCGTACACAAATCATGCAAAGACTTCAGTTTGCAAGACTAGGTGCTAACCTTTACTTTCTTACAGCGAGTATGAATCTCAAATCAAAATCCCGGACGACAGATTTACATACAACAAGAAGGAGCTCGTCTTTAAATAATCTCAGGACTTGCTACATGCGTCATTACCTGCTGTCCAACATCTTTTGATGATGGCGCGATAGCAAGAGACATAACGGGCTCCGGGACATTCATTGATGTCATCGTATACTTGACTGATCCATCAGTAAATGTGTCACCTGAACAGTAAAAGCCATTTTAGATAGTCTATTACAAGCATTAACAACCGCTTCAGTTGTAAAATAACGTTGTAAGTCCTCGTTCAGAAACAAACAATTACCGTAGTATTACGTTCAAGAAACAAAAACAGTTTTCAGAAGATGTACAAACCTGAGGCACATTCCACGCCAAACACAGCAACAATTTCCCCTGCGCCAGCTTGCTGAATATCCTGAAGACGGACACGAATGAATGTACACCAACAGGAGTTAAAAGCAGGGAAAGAAAATATGAACCCAACTCTACGACAGTTGAACAAAACAGCAAGATCTTCACAACAGTGCAGATAAACATTCAATATAAAACGACCATAAATGTAAGCTACTAAGAAAGGACAACGTTGGAGATACAGGTATGGTACTGTGTCTAACGATTTGGTGAACAAATATGCAAAACTTATTCAGCAGGTTATCTATCACTTTGCATCTCCTTGGGTGATCGGTACGATGTGAAGTTCCACAGAAGAATCCGGGCACACATCTGAACACAGAAATCTACGTTATCTCACCTCCATATCATCTGCATGCATACGAACGAGCCTTGGTACCTATTCCACGACCCAAAGAAGAAACAAACAAACAGAAGTTAATCAGGAATAATCCGTGATTGAACAAATGGATCCTCCAGCAATACTGTGCTCCAAAAAGTTCATATATACAACCACGCACTGTTCAAATCCATAAAAAACATGGAATTAAAGTCTGCTACTCTATTAAGCTTTCGGCTAAGCGTCAAGAGTGAAACGACGTTCAATGTCACTTGTAAAAATTTGAACCATTTCTCGATTTGTGCGTGTCATCCTTGCGCAGGGGCCATGCTAATCTTCTCTGTATCGTTCCAATTTTATCGGATGTCCCTTCGGGGACATCCGATAAAATTGGAAACCTTGCAAATTCGATAAAATTAGAACCTTGCAAATTCAAAGGGCGATAAGCAAAGGAATTACGACTGCACCTTCACTTTCCGACCTGTCGTTGAATTTACAATATAATCACCTCGGCGGATGGTTCCGTCGTACAGCCTGATCAAGTGGGAAGGTCAGTCATTTCAATTTTGAGATGAACGTTCTAAAAACTGCCAAAGAAAGGGAAAAGACAACGGTAGAGAGCAAAACATGAATCATTTCAATCGAAACAAAAGAGTATATAGCTAAGACTACAATATTATTAAGGTTTGCCTCCCGGGATGAAGGCATGACTCTTTGTCTTTTCCATCTATCGCTTCTTGGCAAATCCGGTTAAACAAAAACACTCAAAATTGCATTGTGGGCCGCGAGAGGAAGGGATCAAAGTGAAAATATTCGCTTTAATAGTCGCATTCTGCATTCCAAAAACGTCTAATTGCATGCCAATCTTGCTGTAATGTTAGGACAAATCTAAAGCTTCGGCTTACCGAAGGTATGTAAGCTGGCCAAAACGTCCTTCTTCCAACTTGAATGCTAGTGCAACAAGAGGGGCATTAGGAGAGCCTGACAGATTCACCTGTTAGAGAATTAAAACCCTGTTAGATCTTTATCACGTTCGCCAAGCTATGTACTAAACAACTCAAATCAGACGTCAAAATTGAGAGCAAAACGAGAAGCAGACATTGTAATACCTTCTCCTCGTTCTTGTTTTGATCAAGCGCATGATTGCTCACTTCGAGTGGACAGGGCAAAAAGTTGGATACTCCGTCCAAGAGAAGCTGAACACCCTGCTCTGGCCCACACAAATAAGTCCAATTTTCAACTGCATCAGATTCTCCCAAGCTCAGACCTGAACCCAATGAAGTATTACACATCCAGAGGCCTCCTTCAAGGTGTTGATTGATATTTTATCACATCATTATCTGCTACAAAATCCAGCTGGAAACAATGAGCACTAAAGCCCAGCATAAGACACTGCGTCTACCGGATGAATACCATCGAACATATTTCATCTGACATTATCATACGACACTGCAGACAGCTTTAAAAAATTACCATTCCTAACTCGCATACCGTGCCCATCAACTAGAAAGCTCTGGTGGGACTCTTCATTTCAAGGTTTTTTATCTTTCTTGGTTTGTATCAAACTTTAAAGTTTGAGTTTCGCATCACAATAGTGTTCCAGAGCTTGAGTCACGTCAATTATTCAACACAGAATCAAGCCAACAAAAAGGAAGAAGTAAGTTCCAACTGAAGGATAATGTATCCACCAAGTTCATGGCATCAACATACCATATCTAATTTTATAGATTGCCTACAGCACCAACATGGGTACTCTTCCATGCAGCATTGCAGACAGGGCAGATAAGTTCACACTCGTACTATTATAATGTAACCAAACGTAGAAAAGTAAAAGGATTCTTCAGTTCAAATTCTACAACTTTCGAGGTTTCCTTCATTCTGAAAGGTTTTATGTTCACATCATAAGAGTCATATGCAGAGCTTGGAAGTGAAGGCAACGATTCGCCACTGAAACAAGCTGTAAAAGCAAGGAGCACTACGGCTGCGAATGGAAGACACTGCACTGCCGGATGAAGTTCATAAGCCTACTCTTATCTGAGTTTGTACTTAGTAATTTGTGGTAAAGTGGACATCATATCATACATCGATACAGAAAGGGTACAAAAACAGAAATAGACTCGCGTTAAAAAAAACCCCACAATGCAGAAAGCTCTATTGAAATTCTTCAATATATTCATACCCCTTAATCTTCATAATTTTCTCATTTTTGAAGTTTGACTTGACACTAAGCTCTGGGCCCGACAGAGCGGAACCGAAGACAAGATATTGAAAAGATTAAATTATATAACACTGTATATCATTGTTAGGCAGTGCGAAACTTCACTTAATTTCTTTCTTATTAGACTACATGTGTTCTGAAAGTAGATAGTTTCCGAGTTAACAAAGGTACTGATTGTAAGCGAGGTCAAGACTATACCTTATTCTTGAAAGCACTTCCCATGAAAACGGGTACAAACTGCAAAGATATTGTTGCTCTCCGAATAGCCGCCTGTGAGTGTAACAAGAGTAAGTGGTCATTCTCTGAACTAGAAAATCAGTCACTGAGACAGACAGACGGAGTACTTTGCGCCTGCTCCCACAAATCTCTAACCACATCCTGTGAATTTGGGTAAGGCAATGCCTCCTTCGTACAAAATCGGTGTGGAGCATACCTCAAGTTCATCAACAGAAATAGGTTCATCGCTCAGAAATTTTTCAGCGAGTTCTTCGTCGACTTCTGATACAATTTCTATCAGCTCACGTCTCTTCTCAGTGGCTATCTGGAGCATCTCTGGAGCAATTTCTTCTTCCACCACGTTCTCCCTGTCAAGTTAAAGGTAATGTCACTCTTCGGCCAACACCTTCGCGATAAAAACAAAATAAGTTTCACTAAACAAAAAGTGCGAGTTGAACCCTAAACACATCACGAACTTAAAAATATGGCTGTTCCGGAGTCAAGCAAAAAATACGCATTCACCTTACCCGTGAGCACCTTTTGAAATAAAGGCTTTCATTTGAACGAGATCGACCAGACCCTGCAGTTCAGTTTCAAGGCCGATTGGGTATTGCACAGCGGCGCAATTCAGCTTCAATTTTTTCTTCAGCTGCAACGCACCAAAAGAAATTCGATTAGTTGCTGCTCCAGCGGGTATTTTTGCAATCAACTTTTTTAACATGCGCCAGAATCTAACTGGTACATGGTAAAAATTCGAAAATATCACTAAACCTCACCTCCAGAAATGATCATAATACCATAGTTGTGCTACTGTTATTTCAATGGGCTTTGGTCCTCCCCAAGTTACACAGAGAGATGAACTGTGGCATGCCGATCGACACCTGCTACACCTGACGTGTTCAATTCACGAAAAATACAAATTCCCAAAGCTTGGCGTTCCAGGCAACGTACTTGATCTATTACTTTCCAGGGATCGGCTCCACTCCGATCGAGTTTATTTATGAAGGCAACTCGTGGGACATTGTACCGGCGCATTTGTCGGTCGACAGTAATCGACTGACTTTGAACACCTCCCACGCTGCACAACACCAACACAGCCCCATCCAGAACTCGCAACGCCCTCTCCACCTCTATGGTGAAGTCCACATGTCCAGGTGTGTCGATGATGTTGACCTGTAGAAAATCATTCCGGTATATAATCAATGAAGAGGCAAATTGAAGTCACAGATCTGAAAAAATGTCCTGATGTTGAAACCTCGCAGGAAGACAGTGAAGTTACGAAATTTTCGGACTTCCACATAATATGGTTCGCCCCCAATTGCATTAGAGGATCGACGTTCAATAAGAGCTTTTGAATTTTGGCAGATAGTAGATCCACTGACAAAATTGTGTAGCTTCGTAATATTGTGGGACAACACGATATTCGTAACCGGAGAGGCTAAGTATAGACGGAAGAGCTCCGATGGTGTCGAGAAATTTTTGAATCTCACCCCCAAACAGAGCAATGCCATTCTTAGAGAGAGTGATCGTATACGAACACAGATCCACACCATCGTTGGTGATGTCAGTCACGTCCACGTTGAACGAGACGTTCAAAAACAGAATAATTGCAGAATTGACTGACAACCGATTTTCCTCCAAATTGATGTATTGGGCGATCACATCTAATGCAGGCGAATTCGTAATTCAACGATATTACCGTAAGTACCGCTACGGTATCATAAACAAAGATCACAACGCACCTGGTAATCGCCCCATGTGCAGTGAGTAGCAGCTGACTGTATGGTGATTCCCTTTTCCCTCTCCAGATCCATTGAGTCCATCTTGGCCCCCACGCCATCTTTCCCTCTTACTTCATGAATTTCATGAATCCGACCGGTGTAGAACAACACCCGCTCAGTTAAGGTCGTTTTTCCTGAATCGATATGAGCCGAGATACCGATATTCCGCACTTTCTCCATGGCTTGTCGCCAAGGCTCACGCTCTTGTGCAGGCTGGGCAAGGCCAGCCATGCCCCTGGCTGATGAAAATTCATAGAACAATTTCGACCTGGAGACGCCATGGCAGGAGTAATTCAGAGCTGGCACTGCTTCTCTGTGAAGCAAAGACGAGAGAACGCCTCGCAGGACGCCTCGAGCTGCCCTGCGGGCTGCCATATTCGCACAGCCCCTTCAAAACTGCTTCGCGTTTTCTTCCCAGTGTGTCAATTCACGAAGAATGTTTGCCACATTCATCACCCCGTACATTTTGCCAACCCTGTCCCATGGTTCTGTTCTGTTCTGGCCTCAGGCTTTTGCCACCTAGGGTTAGGGTTTCCACCATTTTCTTTCACCGGTCTTCGGTAGAATGACTTCATTTTGACCCTCCCTTCAGACTTAGGAGGGATTTGGCTATGACTTGACGGAGTTAGCGGAGATAGTAGACTTTCATGGTGGTTTCGGCACTTCCTCACAAACCAATGAAGCAGGTCCTTCCACAGGTCGAATGGTGCTGAGACTCGAGATTTGATAGTTAGCAGATTTCTGTGAATATGCAGCCACTTGTGCCGTGCATATAGCAACTCTTTACGCAATTCCTTTCGCATTGGCAATTTGTCCACGTGGTTGGTGTCCTGTACGTCTCGGGTACTCCCTGATTTCATGCATAGTACTCACATTTCTCAACTATCGTTCTTTGACCAAAGTGGAGTACCGGCATCTCAGGCATGAGACGTGCCGAATTGTTGAGTTTTCGTCCTTTACTGCAGTTCTTGTGTGGCATCTGTTGTTCATCTGCCATACTGGGCTCTCGCCCTTCCCAACCGTGTAAAGCCCGATTGTAGAAGCCTAGCGAATTGTCTCAAGGAGTAGCCTGACACTTGTGAAGAATCGAGTTATATAGCGTACACTTCGGTTGAGTCTGTAAGGTAAACCCAATATGCTGATCTGATTTTCTTGTTCAGAACAATTTTCGACTGCGAAGCCTCAGTATTCACGCTGGTGTTTTCGGTGGGCTCTTCAGTTGAGGTGATTTTCCGAATGTTTAAGTATTAGATGGATCACATTATTTCACACCAGATATACTCCTGGCAACTTCTCATGCGAGGCATCCTGATTCCAACCAATTCCTTCTGTTTCAGAGAGAAACTAAAATATGTACGTGGATAAAATGTACTGAGTAAAAATGTTCGCCTTAACTTCCCAGGAGCCAAACAATAATGGCTCTGCGTGAGCATACCGACATATTCATACAAGGGCTATCTATGTATCTTTCTTGCAATGCTTCCCAGAATTGATCCACAAAGCTCAACCCCTTGGAACACCTTCGGCTTGTTGTGACATTTTCGTGAGAGACAAGGTTTCAAAATGTACTATTGACGTGAACTTCTGATGCCGGCTGACGAGCAGTACGTGGTGTAAACAATACACTTTTTGAAAGTCCTGTGTTCATAATGCCTTAAGGATGTGAATTGCTGCATTCTGTGGAACTCAGTGCCAATGTGACCTCAACTTCATGTGTGTAGCAATTCTTTCAATGTCGTCCAAAGATAAGGTATCCCTGACCTACACAAAGATTTGTTGGAAGGAAACACGACGAAGACTAAATGATTAGAAACAGAAGTGAATTAACCAAAAGAACTGTAATTTGGTAATGTAGACTGCAAATAAACTTTACACCTTAAGAAAACGAAAACAAACATCCTGAGATGTTCCAGTTGATTGAATCCATATCCCAGCTTCCACTCTTGCTTACCAATGATTCGTGAACGTGTTTGAAGCTTTCGCAGAATCGTTGGCCTTCTTCATTTCCCAGCTGCAGTACTCGCGGTCTGACTTATCAGTTACTCGCATCCATAAACTTCACTCTATGAAAAATAACTAGGAAAAACCAAGAAACTTTAACGAAATGAAGTAAGTGAAAGTACTACACTTCTTCAAGTGAATCGACAGACCCATAATGCTAAACTTGTACAATACAGATGAAAAGATAATAGTTCTCAGGGCTAGTATGAAGAGAGAGCCTGCACTAGAACCCAACATAGCACCTTCTTCTAAAATAGGCACCAAGCCACGACTATAATTTTTCGTAACTATAGCATAACAAACAACGGTCGGATTGATAAATACACAGAGAAATCTGCTTGAGGAACATAATTGTTCAAGGTACGCTTCCAAACCTACCAATTCTTGCATGGCACTCCTCAGTGGATTCCAGAAACCTGACAAAAATCAAGAGCAATAACAACTCAGGACTGTATTCGGATTATAGGTACTTCAAAACAAACTTCTTAGGGCTCTTGCAATGTAAGTAACAGAGAAAAGTTGACGCTAGTAAATACAGCGGTGAAAATGCGAACTAGGTACCAAATCCTCAATGAAGCTACCATTCAAGGTTCCTCACTGTGGTTTGGGCATTATAATAATGAGCTGGATTACAGAAGTGACATTTGCCTCAAGACCATACACAGCTTTACAGGCTAACTAGGAGAGAACTCCATCTCCAACGAATCTGGTAAAAGAGTGGCGACAAGACAAGACCTTGTTCAGGAGGTACACTTGCCACAGATTTCTGTGCGTGCATTTCGAGGAATTCCTTTTCATTGGCAGAATTCCCTTTCTCCATAATCGCGCTATCCTGGTATCACAAACATGTGACTGTGTCAAATGCCCGTGGTAGCAAAAAATTTCTCCAACAACACAATCAAATCTTGACTTGAACGTCGGTTCTGCCAGGTAGTGAAGACCTGAAGTCAGTGATTCAGATTGACAAATTAGGAAATTATTGCAGTATAATCACCTTCAATGCTGACTTCGTGGCAGATATTGTTGAGCGCCCACTAGTTGCGGCATTGTCGCTACTAGCAGCACTAATTTCGTCATCCTCGGCCTGTTGGATCAAATATCAATTTCAAATAGAGGGATACCCTGCACTTATTAGGTTCGAAAGAACTTCCTAGAGATGATCGATAACACCTGCTACAGTCTAGAATTTGTGACAATCATGGCTAAAGACTAATCTTGCTAAAGGCTTCAAAACAGCTATTAGACTCTGCCTTGCCAAAATCGCAAAACCAGAATCTCAACACTGCCATATGCCATCCATACACTCAAACCTGCAAAAAAATAGACCTAAACCCTGAGAAGTAACTAAGATCTTGCATAATATTCACAAGAAATGATGCTCACACAATATGTAGAGGAGCGCACGACAGGAAATAGCTCTAATGCTCTGCGAAATTGATGTTCTTCCATCGAGTGACAGAGCGACAGCGTCTCCCGAGTGAAGCGGAATCGATCGCAAATTACTTGCCCTCTGCACTTGAGTACCCGGGTTATCTAATCCTCGATGATGATGACCCGTATTTTTTTGTTCTGGAATGGTCTTTCAAATCTTTATCAGCTTTGGCGAGAATTGAACCTCGGTAACGAATTCTGGAGACTAGTACGCCGGTAACAGGCGGAATCACAAATCATTTGCTGCTGAACCGTGTGCCCGCGCTAGTCCATCGATACATGCATCAGCGCATCTTTCTGCCGTAAGAATGTGTACGCCAAATGCACAGCGATTTGCCCAGCTAGCGTACTAGTACGGTAGAGAAGACACAGGTTCTGCTTGTTCGTTTTGTCTCAAATACTTTCTGTTCGGTTCATATGCTTTCCGCTAGAATATTCATGTTTTTTCACATATAATTTAACTCCTCTGTCGACTGTTGGCTTTCGCTTTTCAGTTTATCTTCGCAGTTTGGCGTTTCAGCTCTCAATCTGCATTGCCTTACAATATCAATTTAGTTTTTACCTTGTACCTCATGGAGTTTCATTTTTACCGTGTACCTCATGGAGTTTCAGGAAATTTAAGAGCTCTTCTTGTGCTCTGTGCGCAGAAACAACTTTCCTTCTCTTTCTGCTGCCATCTACATTGTGGCGGTGTATGACTCACAATTCTAAGTTGTGATGCAAAGTGTAGCGTTCCGGTACTCGACGGAGTATTAATTGTGTTCAGGTGTAACCTTTCCGGTAACCGATTTATTTCACTGCAATTTTAACTTAGAAGAGGATTCGCGAATTACAGACTGCATAAATTACTGGATGTACTTCTTTTATAAGAGGTAGAAGTTGGTGTTATATAAACATATGTCTGCATACACACTTAGGTTATATTTATATTTATTTATTTATTTATTTATTTATTTATTTATTTATTTATTTATATTACAAATAATCACAAAGTGGAAATGACTTTACAAGACTTAAATCAACATGAATGATCATACTCAAATGAGTTTAATTACAGTCCAGATTTGTAATATCACTATTTGTCAAATTTCAAATGTGAAGACTAGTACTGTGTAAATATGTAAGTTTTTCACACACATCCCCGTGAAATAAACTTTCCACAATATTTATATCACTTTCTTCATCGAAATCTATCAATTTCAGAGAACACAAATACACGCACACACAAAATTCGTCTTAAATTTATTAATATAAATTAAAATTTATCCCACCCTAATATTCACTGGGACCTCATTGTTTTGACTATTTTGTTCTAAAAAGAAAAATATTCTGTTTCAATGTTTTAAAAAATTAATCTGAAATCTTTTAACTAGTTAGCAAATTCATCGTATATGAATATATGAAGTAAAGTATCACAATCTCAAACTGATAATATTACTATATATTTTAAATAATAATATGCAAAAATGTTCAAAATATAGATGATTTAAACCAAAATCCTATAACATGCATTTAGATGTAAACTCGGTGATTTTGTAACAACTACATCAACAATTCACAATACTGCAATATTTCTCAAAAAATGTGGTGTGCATCACATATATGATTACAACTATATATATTGAAACCATATTATTATATGGTATCAAAGGTTTGACTCGGCTGATTTTGCTACTATTAAAATATGAAAGATCGACGACTATTCATTAGCTCTTGAAGAACACACAAATGTCTTCCGCTGCACTCAGCCATTATCAGCTGATTGTATTGACATAAAGTTTTGGGAAGATTGGCATCGTAAATAAGAATGTAAAGTAATTGTAACTTTCAATATAAAATCTTTAATCAATACAAGTCATATATATTAAGTCTTTTATCATAAAGATTTGTTTACAACAAAATGTGTAAAACTAATCAACATAAATCTTGCATATATGAAATATTTCATTATATAGTTTAGAAACAAACATAGGTATGTCATCAACTAAATGATGGAAACACTTGCTTCATTCGAATTAATTACATTGTTGTGTTGTAACAAACATTCAAATCTAAAGTTATCTTGTGTGTAGCTATTCTTTATCCAACATACACATGTGATGTGACACCTATCTGAAACTCTTTAATATGTACACGCAAGATATTATCTTATATAATATTGAGTAATGAAGGTGAAACCAATATGATAATTCTACAACAAATTCTTGAATCGTGATGGAGCGAAGATCCATGAATTTGCAACCATGCCATAAAAATGTTTTATTGATAGACATAGTCAAACAAATACATGATAAGATAGATCATAATAAGAATAAAACTTAATCGTGAAAATTTCAATACATCAGGATAGATTATCAGATTTTAGTCCAATAAATGAAAAATTGTAAAATGTGCACAATTTTTGGTAGTGGTAATGAGATCAAATCATCTCTAGTAAGAAGAAATCTATCATTTATGCCACACGCATACATTTTGAGCTTGGATTATTTTTAGAGAATTGCTAGGCACACACCCCCCCTCCTGTGCATACATCCACTCGTCCACAAAGCACATTTCTGCGTCAAAACACCAAAAGCTAAACATTTCTGCGTCAAAACATGCCAGCGCTTTGTCAAACAAGGGGGAAATGCTGTTTACTGGTCCAAACATGCCGGCGCTTCGGCAAACAAGGCGGTAACGCTGCAATTTTTGTTTGGAAGGTACCTAATTGGAAACACGTTCAAACGCGGACGGATCCCGTCGAGTGCTGTTGTCAGCTGGCGCTCGTCTTCTGCGCGCGCCTCGTGGACGTCCGCGTGGACGTCGCATCGGCGGGTCTTGCACGGGTGCAGGAACTTGCTCCTGTGACAGCACCTCGAGCTGATCTTGCAGAAGGCGCTGCTGATGTGGTGGCAACAAACCATGGCGGGCGGCAACGTTCTCCATGACCGCGGCGAGCTCACGTGTGCCATTGCCGGCAGCCGGACGGGCGGTCATCCCTCTTTGAGGACGCTTGTGTGCCTAGCAATTCCCTATTTTTAACTGTATAAATATTTCAACATTTAGCAGATTTAACATTTTTTATTTGTTCATTTAAATGTAAAAATTCATCAATTTAAAAAAGAAATGAAATAGTAATTATAAATATGAATGTAAAAATATAAAATGGATACCAATATTTAAACCAATTATTATTCATTTCACATAAGGTATATATCACAATTATAAAATGTATGGTTGAAAAAAAACAAGATGTTCTTACAATGTTACATTTTGTTATGTTGTGAATAATATGCACATTACCAATCTTATACAAATCTGATGTTACATCAAATAAAAAAGCGAATAAAATTATATAAAACAGTATAATTAAAATATTACATTATGTGATGATTGAAAAAATTACAAAAACTCAAATGTATAAACATGTGAATTAAGACTCAAAAAATTGCAAATTGTTTTTATTCAAAATCACTTTTGATGAATTATATATCAAACCTGAAAATTTAATTCACAAAAATATATTCAAAATAAGATTAATCAATTTTTTAAAAATAATTTAATGTGAACTTAACTTAGACCTTTGCTAACTCTGATTAGTTAAACCTTGGTTGATTAAGCTCGTTAGAATCTCATTATATATGAAGTATAGTTGAAGCTCTTTATGATAGAAATTATAATTTCAGTATAAGAGCTTGTGTTGTAATCTTCTATATCAAAAAAACACCTTTTGTATTTTTTTAATTTATCTTGTAAAATACATGTGTGTTTATCAATTAGTTCATTGAAATTTGTGATATATATTTCACAAAATCATTGGTATCAAAGTGCAAGACCAATATGAAAGTGGTGTAAAATCATTCAAATTTGTGATGGATATTTCACAGATTTATCAGTATCAAAGCGTGAGAATAACGTGGAAGCAGCGTTTAAATATTCAAAGAAATTGTTGATTATGGTGAATAAATCATAATTAAAAGAAGCAAAAAACTGCAAGATCTAACATCATAAGGTATGAAAAGTAATATAATAAAATATAAACACTTGACCAAAGATTTGAGATATAAATTTATTGCTTCAATTTTAAACATGTAGATGATGATCAAATTTCTCAATAAAGTTGTTATTTTTTAATACACAAATTCTCTTTTGATGATCATCATCTAGGTTTTATTAATTAAGTGTTAAATTGTTTGACTATTTTTTAACAACAACACACACAAATATATCAAGTATGATATTGAACTTTAAGTATATCAATTTCATTGTCACTTTATTAATTTATATTTAGAAGAAACATGAAATAAATATTAGTTTGCAATAGTAATAATCACAAGAGTATTTCATTGTAAGACTATGAATCAAGTGATGAGCTCATTGAGAAACGAAACACAATTGTGAAAGATGATAGATACTTAGAATAGTTTTAGTTTCTCTTATACATATTTTACAAACAAGTACAATGAGATAAAAAATCATCATCACCCTCTGTTTCACTATTGATCAATTGATGACATGGTAAAAAATCAAACACATAAATTGTTAACTTATCGTTATCAATTAACACACTCAATGCTTACTTAACAAACACACTGATTCTTAATGTGTGACACTTAACTAAAACACTTGATCTCTCTACTTATCATACACGCAAATGGGTAAAATGACAATAATGAATAGTGCACTATAAGTTAACTGTAATTCTGTTTTAAATAACATATATTTTAGTTATAAGTAACTAAAAAGTATAACATTGATAATGGAAAAATCAATATGATATTGTTATGTAAATATCATGAAAGCCATGCACAGAAGAGATTTAGCGGCAAGATGATAGATTATAAAGGATTCACAAATTGCTTACAATTATGAAAAATAAAAAAGTAAGTGACACACATAATTGCAATTAATGAAAAAAACCATTACTTGTATCTATAGGATTGGCGAGATAGATAACTTAAAAAAAAAACATCAATGTGTCAGATTTTTATTTATGTTCAAACAAACTAACAAAATATATAGTTAAAAAAATATCATCAATCAACATTAGTGATGTAAAGATGCTATTATAACTTAATGTTATAATAACATTGTCATATAGGAAACAATGTCAAAACTAAACAATTAACAATGTTACACATATTTATGCAATTGTTTATTTATTTAATTTTATAAATAAAATATATTGTCATATTGTTTGGAATTATGTCGCATTGTCAAGTCTATTGTATTGATGAAGAGTTTTCAATACATATAGATATTTAAAATAATATATTTTTCAATATATTGAAAACAATTAAAACTGATGATCAAAGATTTAATTAGTCTACAAAATTACGTTGAACAATTGCAATCTTGGATGATTATTACTTTTGTTTGGAAAATGATACA